ATCTCCTAACTTCATGCAATTCGTCAGTGTCTTTACTCCCGGCTCAGAAACGGACTTGGTAAGATAACTTTTTCTTCCAACAATACTATGAGCAGTGCAAGGGAAAGCCATCTCCCCATGTCTAATGAACAGACAGGCATCTTCCAAAGGATGTCTTCTACAGATCTTAATGAGTAAGCAGGAGAGGTTGTCCTTGAAAAATCAGGCGCAAAGCCATGGAAACTCTGTAAAGATTAGACTTAGGGATGAGCAGCGCCTTAGATCTTAAAGCTGAAAAGGTGTTTTTGTGCAGGAAAGGGTACACACACACGTTGGTCCTCCTTAAAGCAGTTCCGCCATTTCTGGGCTTGCACAGTAGTCACACAATTTCAGAAAAACGTGTTTGAGTTAAGGAGGTGGTTGACGTTTTCAGGTTTGAATCCAAAGCACAACTCATCCCTAGTAAGTGCCAGAACCTTACACTGTACTCAGAAAACAACTGGCCATCAGAGCAGGTATTATATGGTTCTCGTGCTCATGAGTAGTCTGATGGCATCCTACTCCAGAGCTCTGAATGACATTCCCTAAGTTTACATAGAAATTGAACAACATGAGGGACAACATAGAAAAAAAATGTGGGCCACCATAAGTCAATACCTTAAGTATCAGTAGTAACCCTGCAGCACCAACTGTTGGAGAGAGCAAGACCAGATCCAGTGCAAACAGTGTCCTCAAGGCTCAATTCTGCCAGATGGTACAAAAGAAAACCATGGTTCATTGTATTAAAGCTGTTGAGAGGAACTCCAGGAATTACTAATACTCCCCCCACCCCCATCCTTGTGAGATATAAACCATCTTGGTACTGGTAATTCAAATCTATATAACTGAGGCCATGGTCCTAAAACCAAGTATTTCCCATCCACCTATTTCTGGAGCTGTTTGTTCAGATGTACTGGTCTTTTTTTCCTTGTCCCTTTCAATAAATTATAAGTATAGATGAGAATACCACAGAACTCTCTAGGTTTCAAGCTACCTTTCTGTATAAGTCTATGAAGGTATGGTTGTAACTGTTCTTGGAAGTATCATTTGTCTCCATGGATTAGCAAAAAGAGATGACTGTCAGTAGATTTGATATCCATATTCTTGAGGCATGGATCCAGTTGGCACCGTCTTGTTTCAATTCCTTGTAATATTGAGTCACCAAGTACTATTACTATTCTATCTTCTTGCTACTTTCCTTTCCTCTTCAAGTATCTGCTGTATTGTTCAGCATTCATTTTCTCACCCCCTTTTCTCAAAAGGACCAGAGCTCATTTGTTCTGTGGAGACTTTAAACCTGTTTCTGTGTTTCATTGGTACAGAATATCATTCTAAGAAATAATGTTTCTTTTTTCTCGTGGTCCTTTCGTACCGAGAGTTGTTAATTCTGTCAGAACCTGTTGTAGCACTTTTGTTTGGCTTAATAAAGCTTCACCCTTTCTGGCTTCTCATTGTTCTTATATTTGTTTTCACAGTACTACTAGAACTTGCACTTGCTGCACACATGTGCTCTATAGTTTTTGGGCAATATCACAACTGCAGACTTCTATTTTCACTTGTTTCTTAAAGTACTACCAGTATAAAGGCTTTTATTTGTTCTTGTTCCTTTCTCAGTTTCCCATGTTAGCTGAGTACCAACTCTCCAGTAAGATGGTAAAATGTTTGGGACTCCCTTTTACCTCCCTTGCAGAATTCCTCTAGCACTCAGCAACTATTTAGGGGATGTCCTTTTTGACCCATATGGCTGAGCACACATGGTTCTCTGCTTATTCCCATCTCTCTTTTTGTCTTGTTCAACCTAATTGCCAAACCACTGGAGGCACAATTACTTCTCACGTTATCTTCACAAGCAGCTTCTAAGCTAGTCTAAAAATTATGCTACTGTTCATGATTGCAATTTTATGCCTTGATTAGAAGTGCTCTAAGGCTCATAGAAACAGGAGTTGCTCAGATATTCATCCAAAGTGAATATTCATCCATGTTTCATTTATAATCATAGGTATATTAATTTAAGCAGCAGCAGAAAGTAACAGCATCTGATATGTGGATCTTCTAAAAAGAATATACTAATTTAAAATAATAGCCTGAGGCATCCCATATTCATGTAAAAACGATGTTCTGAGACACACATATTTGAATGACTATTTATTAACAAATAGAAAAATATATAAATGTATACACAAGGCTGCAACTTGCACTGTCTTTTGCATTTCTACATATACAATATTAAAAAAAACTATTCTGTTTGAAGGAACTTAGTCTATAATTTCAGTATATGTCTTTGATCCCCCCCCCCCCCCCCCCCCCCCCCCCCC